CGCCATGTGGTCACCTCCCAGGCAGGCGGGAATTGAACCCATGCTGTGGCTTTAGCTTCTCAGTGCTGTGCTCTAACCAGCTCCGCCACCAGGGAGGGCCTGTTGCTGTTATTTTATTAAATTAATTACATGATTCTATGCAAAAGTAGGATAATGGATGTAAAGGTCTAGAAGCATTCTTGAAACAGGCTTTGCTCTCATAACAAATACATGGACCTTAAATGGTGACTTTCAGTGCACCATTTGTCTTATTTGTAAACTTTATAACTAGTTTTCCTTGTTAAACTGCTTCCTTTTTCTTTGTATCTTATTTCAGTGAGAATATTGACTTACTTGTTTCTTAATCTTTACTGTTTGTACTTGGTTCATGGATTTTTTTTCTTTAAATGACTTTCATATTTCCCTTTCACTTTTTTTTTTAAGATTTGTTAATTTGTATGTGTATAAGAACTGGGGGCCAGAGCTCCTATGGGTGAGAGGGTTCACTAGAGACAGTGGGGAGGAGAACAGGCAGAATGACTGAAACACACTCCTGAGGGGAGCAGCAGGCGGGTGTCAGTTGAGGTCTGCCACACCATGTGGGTCACCCTCCTGGCCAGGAGTCGAATTTGTACTACAGTGGCTTCAGATAGCTTTGTAGCTTTAACTTGTTGCGCCATCAGGTAGGGCCTTCCCTTTTACTATTGCCATCCACCTAGGCCTTTTCCTTCTCACACTGGTTATACAGTGGGAATTTTTTTTCTTTGATTATTTCTTTTTTCCAGCTTACTCTGCCATATTGATCTTCTGAAAACATCCATATCACCCTTATAAAGGTTATTCCCTCAGCGATTTTTTGGTACTTACCATGTGACGTTCAGATTCTTCAGTTAGACTTTGAAGAGCCAACTCTGTCTTTGCTCTAAGTGTCTCCGGTCTTGTTCTCACTATTCTGAATAAAACACATAATATTGTTATGGGCCAAACATCTGCCTGATTTAAACACATTGTACATGTTTATTAATTAAATCATTCCAAGAACCCAATATGGTAGGTTCTTTTACCATCACATCTACCATAGATTATGATCCCTGTTTTACAAGTAAAAACTGAAATCACAGAATGTCATATAAACATGTTTGAGATCAAATAGTAAGTGGTGAGAGGATTAAGTGAACTATTAGGCAAAAATAATCTATCAGGTAGTATTTTTCTCCTTGCATCTTACATGTATTTAATATGAATTAGTATTCTGTGTTGCTCTTAAGATTTCTGATTTTTAGTGATAGAATAGTATTTTCTTCCTTGGTAAATTTCACTTACTCTCATAATGCTGTGATCAATATGTCCTTGAAATTATTTAGACTTTGGGTCACATTATTCCTTATATTCTCCATTTTAAGCTCTTGTGATGATCCTCTGACATGGGCTTTATATAAGATGACTAGGATGATTTCTTGTGTGCTAGCATATTTTTAACCTGAAGAGCTCAAGATGTTATTTTTTTTTTTTTTAAAGATTTATTTATGCATACAGAACTGAGGTTCAAGCCAAAGGCACAGGGTTGGTAAGATGATTCACCAGAGACAGAGATGGGAGCAGAACAGGCAGATCGACAAAGTACACTGCT